TTAAAGACATTGACAAATTTTGAGACCCATATGATCTACCCAAAGTGAATCAGAAAGACATAGAAAAGTGAAACAGATCATTTTAAGCAATGGAATTGAAAATGCCATCAAAAGCAGATCAACAGAGAAAAGCCCACACTGATGGATTCTCAGCCTACTGGGAACAGATCTTCAAACAAGCAGTAACACCAATGCACCTCAAATTATTCCATGAAATAGAAAGGGAGGGATTTCTTCCAAATTCATTATATGAGGCTGGTATCACCCTGATAACAAAACTAGACAAAGACACATCAAAGAAAGAAAACTTCATATCAATATTCCTGATGAACATAGCTGCAAAAATTCTTAATAAAATACTGATAAATAACATAAAAAAAACATTAAAAATATAATGTACCGTGATCATGTGAGGTTCATCCCAGGAATGCAAGGTTGGTTCAACATATGGAAATCAATAAACATAATTCATCATGTCAATAGACATAAAGACACGAACCACTTTATTATATCAATTGATACAGAGAAAGCATTTGGCAAAATTCAGGATCAATTCATACTCAAAACACTAAAAAACTAGTGATAATGGGAACATACCTCAACATTTTCAAAGTTTTATATGCAAAATACAAGGCTAACACCATTCTAAACAACGAAAAGATGACAGCATTCTCTCTAGAAACTGGAACAAGTCAGGGATGCCCTCTCACCACTTTTATTCAACACCTTCCTTGAAACTCTAGCCAGAGCAATTAGACAGAAGAAAGGAGTTAAAGGAATACAGATAGGAAAAGAAGAACAAAAACCATCTCTCTTTGCCACTGACATGATTCTATATGTAGAAGATCCAAAAAATTACACCTCTACAATGAAAAGTCCAAAATATGAAAGAAATAAATTGAATAAGACCTTAGAATGTGTAAAGATTCCCCCCACTTGCTTGGACAGGCAGAGCTAATACTGTCATGATGGCTCTACTACCAAAAGCACTGTGCCTAATTAGAGCAATACATATTATAATTCCAATAATGTTCTTCATAAAAATAGAAAAAGGAGTTGTGAAATTTATTTGAAAAAATAAGAATCCCAGAACAGAAAAATAATCCTCAGCAAGAAAAGTGAAGCAGGAGACATCAAATCGGACCTTAAATTATACTACAGAGCTAGAGTAACAAAAACAGCATGGTTTCAGCACCAAAACAGACATGAAGACCAATGGCACAGATTGGAAGACAAACAGATGCATTCACACACACAGTTCTCTCATACTAGACAAGGCAACATAAACCTATGCTGGACAAAAGATAGCCTCTTTGCAAATGGTACTGGCAAAACTGGACAGCTGCATGTAGCAAAATGACATTAAACTGCTATCTCTAACCCTGTCCCAAACTCAACTCAAAGTGGATCAAGGACCTAGGTATTACACCAGAGACCTTGTGCCAACTAGAAGAAAAAATAGGCCCAACTCTAAATTATATCAGCTTAGGGATCAACTACCTCAATAAGACTCGTAAAGTGCAAGAAGTAAAATCAAGAATCAATAAATGGGATGATATCAAACTAAAAAGCTTCTTCACAGCAAGGGGAACATCAGGAAGTTGAGCAGAGATCCTACAGAATGGGAAAAAAAATTTTGCCACTGACACCTCAGACACAACATCAATCTCAAGGATATATAAAGAATTCAGAAAAACTTAACTCCAAAACCAACAAACAAATGACCCAATAAATAAGTGGGAAAGGAACTGAAGAGTTGCTTTATAGAAGAAGAAATATAATCAGTCAACAAGTATATGCAAAATGTTCAACATCTCTATCAATTAGAGAAATGTAAATTAGTACTACAGGGAGATTCCCTCTCACTCCAGTCAGAATGGCAATTATCAATAATACAGGTAACAGTAAAATGTTGGCAAGTATGTGGGGGCAAAAAAGGTTCACTCAAAGATTAATGGTGGGACTGCAAATTGGTGCAACCACTATGGAAAGCAGTATAAAGATTCCTCAGAAAACTGGGAATGGAATCACCATTTGTTCCAGCTAACACAATTCACTATTTATACCCTAAGAATATTAAATCAGCATCTACAGTGACATGGCCACTGCAATGTTTAAAACAGCTCAATTCACAATAGCTAAGCTATGGAACCAACCTAGGTGTCCTTCAACAAATAACCGGATAAAGAAAATATGGTGTATAATATACACAATAGAATATTACTGAGCCATAAAGAAGAATGAAATTACGACATATGCCAATAAATGGATGGAACTATCATGCTAAGTGAAATAAGCCAGTCTGAGAGAAAAACCAAAGGCCAAATCTTGTCTCTGATACGCAGAGGCTACCACACAACAATGGGGCATGATGAGGAAAGAATACAAGTTCACTGGATTTGACAAAGAGAAATAAAAGGAAGGGAGTGGGGATAGGAATAGGAAAGTCAGAATGACTCAGACATGAGTTTCCTATATTCATATATAAATGCACAACCAGTGTAACCCCACAGCATGCACAACCACAAGAATGGGAAGTTATACTCCATGTATGTATAATATGTCAAAACACATTCTACTGTCCTGTATAACTAAAAAGAACAAATTTTAAAAGACGAACACACACCCCTGTTATTCCATTTAAGCAGCAGACAAAAATTCCCCTTGGAGGCACTGGACCACTCCCCAGGATCATAAACTGCCCCATGGCTTTGAAAATTCTTCCCCTCATGGACTTGTCTACATATCATGAAAACAACAGATGTCTGCTGACCCCTTGGCTCTCTAGGGCTTACATGCTCCATAAACACTGATAACCTCAACTGCTCCCGACAGCTATGAAAGCATCATCAGGACAAGATAAAGCAAAACCTAGACCATCTGGCCTTTCCCACTGGCAGGATGGGGTGACTTCCCTAGGCTTAGACCCTTACACAAAGCCTGGGTATCAGAGGGGTAACCTCCCACCAGGCCCCATGGCTAGCTGAAGCCCTAAGAATTAACCTAGTGGATGTAATGGAAATCCGTGGACTGTAGGAATGGCACAGCCACCCGTCATACACCCTGGAACCCAGTGGGATATGGCTGCCTTCCACCCCTTAACCAGAGCCTCCCTCTAAAGCATGGGACCCAAGGACAACACACCTTGCAAAGCCCAGGCAGTCTCCTGAGCTCAGGGCAATTCACCTCTCTGTTCCACACCTGGAAGTGGCTCCCATTTCAATCAGAGTGAGAGGAACTCCCTTGAACACAGCAGGGACATCTGCTCTCACACCCTATGCACATGGGGTTTCTCTATCGGGAAGCCCTTCTGCCAGAAAACCTCATGGCCACTCCTGCCCCTCCTCTTAATCTCTGCTCAAATTCCCCTTCTCAGTGATGCCTGCCCAGACCACTCCATTTGCAGTGCCTCTCCCACTCGTTCTCCAGTTCCCTTATCCCACTGATTGTTTTCAAGTCACATTGATCACTGTTCAATATGTGATATGAATTACCTCTTTGTAGTGTGTTGATCACCACCATTGTCCCTAGAGGTACCTTAGCTACACATGGCAAATTCTTTGCCTCTTTTATTCTCAATATACTGCAAGTTTCTGTAAACTGTTCCTGCACACAGTAGGTGTACACTCAGTGTGTATTTAGTGTGTGAATTGCTCAGTGCCACACCCCCTGCATTGCAGAAGTCGATTTGCAGTGGATACATTTTGTAAAAATGGCCACAACTTGAGTTTACCTCACAGAATATTTAGCAAAACAAGAACTATTTGTAGAAATAGGAAGGAAGTAGAAGAGCCCACGAGAAGAAAACCACAAACCCTTTTCTTCTACCATTGTCTACACCCATTGGCAGAAGCTGTACAAAGTGTGTAAATCAGTCTATATATGCATTGTTTACTAACTTCATAAACGAATTTAAACCAGGCACCCTTCTTATTGTCTTCAAATATAAATATAATAAAAGAAACAAGATCCAAACCCTCTTGGGGTCTCTAGACCACTATGATGAGCATGAGATGCTCTAGGTCTTTGGAAGCAGACATCTGACCCCATGATGTCATGCTACACACCACTAAAACAATGTCTGGCCACATGTAGGGTCAGGGCCACAGAGTTTGAGAAGATGGTGGGTGAACCACGAGCTCCAGATCAGAGCATCTGCACCCAAACCCCAGCCCTCGCACTGCCCCTGAATGACCACGGAGCTCCTGGTGATTCTGCTTCTAATCTGTAAGGTGGGTGACCAGAGTGTCTGCTGTGGGTGTCATGGTCACGTGATGAGCTGTACAGCATTTCAAGAGAGTCTGGCCCATGGTGAGTGTTCAAGAAATTGAAAGTCATTACTCAGTAGATTTCCTGAGGCCTGGAGACTTCCACTGGCCCCCTATGATGTAGATAAGGGTAAGGACATCGTCACAGCCTGTGTCAGTCAACTCTTCATTACTGTAAGTAATACCAGAGACAAATCCACTTATGAAGAGAAAAGCAGGATGACAGCTCACAGTTTTAGAGGTTTCAGTCCAGCATTGATTATCCCCATGGCTGTTGGACCTGTGGGAGGAACCAAATCAATGGTGGAGAAGGTATGATGGGACAAAGCCATGTACCTCAAGACCAGAGTATGAGAAAGAGAGAGAGAGACTGAGAGAAAGAGATTGCTTGCTCCATGGCCTTAAGGAGGTCACCTCATCTTTGGTGTCTCAGAAATTATCAGGATATAAACATTGATCTTCTAGAAATGTATTTTGTGAGCTAAAATATTACAATATGCAAGTCATTCTTGTCACTGCTGTTTGAAGTATCAGCTGATGTGATGCCTCTGGCCCCAGCTGCAGGGGAGGCCTCCCAGAGACACTGCTCAGGACCCTTGGTCTGGGCTCCAGAGAATGCCCTGTCCCAGCCTCCATGGCAGAGCCTGTGTTTGTCCTGAGTCCCTGGGAGTCCAGGGCAGAGCTGACCCAGGGAGCAGGACAGAGGACTCTCCCCAGACAGTGCTCACTCACCTGTGAGTCCCAGCAGGAGGGTCAGCAGCAGGACAGGACAGGGACACTGGGGCCAGGAGGCAGGTGCAGACATGGTGGAGCCGTGAGGAGCCTGCTCTGTCCCAGTGTCTGTGCTGGGGCGATCCCTGACTCTGCTCTCTGGAGGGAACTGACACTCTGTGTCCCTTGTTGCAAGAGGAAGTGACAGTGACAGAGTGACAAGTACTTTCCTCCAAAATTTTGAAGTAGAAACCAGGAGCATGGACAGCGAAAGTTAAAGGTCTCTCATGCTGCATTTTCAGAAGGAATTGGACGGGCCTCCTTCCCCTGGGCCTGCTCTAGTCCACTAGGCCCCTCGTGGTTTCCTGGGTCTTAGTGACAATCTATTTGAGAGTCACAGGACAGGCAGGCTGTGCCCCAGACTCCTGACCCTGAGACCCTGGTGTGGCTGGCTGGTGGCCTCACTCTGCAGCAGCTACACACAGAGCTACTCAGCTGGAGGGAGTAGGGGTCCTGGGGCCTGCTCAGTGTTGGGGAGGAACTGGTCACCTCCTGCCCTGGCCAATCACTGCAAAGCATTTTTTCTGTAAAGGATCATAGTTCCCATAACAGTTGGGTTCATCCTGACAAAACCATACGTGCATGGAATTAGGGATCAATTCTGGGTCTCCCTTTTGCTCTCCCGTGCTCACCCCACACCCTCCTCCTTCCTAATTTCTACTAGACTTCCTTTTTCTCATGTCTTCATTTATTTTTATTGTTTCTTTCAGTTCATATATAAATGTGGTGTATTTATATTACACATAACACAATTTTAAAAGAACTCCTTCGGCATTTCCTTCCATTTTCCATCCCTCCTCTTTGACTCTTGCTCTCCTTCTGTTCTACTGACCTTTCCCACATCTATGTGATGTCCTGTCCTTCTCTCCTTCTTTCCTTTATTACACTCTAGTGTGCAGAGCTGAGAGAAAACATTAGACCTTTGACTTTCTGAGTGTGACTTCTTTACTTAGCATGATGTTCTCCATGTCCATCAACTTACTGTCAAATGCCATGATGTCATTCTTCTTTGTGGCTGAGGAGAACAGGAAGTGACCATGATGGAGCGAGAAGCAATTTCCTTCAAATTCTGAAGTAGAAACCAGGGAGCACAGTCAAAAATCACAGTTTCTTAATCCATTTATCTATTGACAGGCTCTGATTGACTCCATAATTTAGCTATTGTGAATTGTTTCTACAAACCCTTAGCTGGCTGCATACCTGTAGGATGCTAATTTTAGATCTTTTGGAAAAATACCAAGGAGTGGATTAGCTGGGTCATGTGGCGGTTCCATTCCTAGTTATTTGATGACTCTCCACTCTGCTTTCCTGAATGGTTTCCTTCATTTGCATTCCCACCAACAATGGATGAGTGTGCATTTTCCAGTCATCATCGCCAACACTTATGATTTGTGATCCTGGCATTTGCCGTCTGACTGGAGTGAGATGAAGCTGTATTGTAGTGTTGATTTGCATTTCCCTGAGGACAAGGAAGGTTGAAAATGTCTTCGTATATATATATAAGCCCTCAGGACCTGCTCAGGGGCCTGGGTCTGCATCTCTTGTAATTAGCCATCAGTTATGAACTCATCCCTGTTCAGTGACCTGTGACTCCAATGCCAAGTGACCCAGGGAAGCCCACATTCAAAAAGCACCCCTTCATCCTCTCCCTCTCACATCCAGGTCTTGGCCCAGGTGAGGCCCATGGCATGTTTGTGGAAAGAGGAACAAGTCGGCCGATGTCATGAGGGGGCAAAATTGTGCTGTATGCAGTCAAGGGGAGAAATAAAGAATGTTCCCGTGTTTCTGCCCCTTTCAATGCTTTATTCACTCATATTACTCAATACAATTTCACTCTATAGGTTCTTAATCACGAAAACGACAGTCCTTAATGCTAGGCACTACAAGAGACATAATCAGTTCACAGCAAATAATTCTAGATTAATTCTAAGCACTGCAAACACAGTTAATCTTGACAGGCTAATGACAGACATTCCCTCTGCATCCTAAGTTCAAAAGTCTCAAGCCTTAGGCTTCACGTCCAGCAGATGCACACTCACTCAGAAGGCGGTGATCAGGTTGGGAACCAAGGCAGGCTTTTCCTGGTGGGGAATGGACGACCGTTTGAGGAGGGCGTTGTAGGGAGGAGCTGCTTCTCTCACCAAGGTCCAGAAGAGGCCTTAGAGTTTGAGAGCGGTGAGGAACATGCAGAGGCTCAGGAAGGATGACAAGTGAAGGGATGTCAGGTCCTCATCAGGCTCTCCAGCTCGAGTGCATCCTTGTTTCGGCTGCTGAATCCCTGTTCATTTGCTCTATCATTGATACTAAATTTGGGGCTTTTGACCCCCCTTTCAATTCTTATTGGCTACCACCGGATTTCTCAGTGACATTTACCCTGGGGTCAGAAACATCTGGTCTGGTGGTCTCCACCCTTATCTTCTCACTTTTCCCTCTTATAAGGTGAGCACAGCCTGCCAGGGGCTTCACTCTGTTTATCAGGGTGAGGGAAAGTAACTTGTTTGAGGCCATCCTGGAGGGCTCTGTTGGGTGTGCCTGGTGAGACTGCAGGTTTCAAACTGGAGTTTTTAAAATGGAGTTGCTTAGGTTCAGGCCTAAGGCTATCTTGACAGCTGATATCAGAACCACCTGAGAACCAGCCCTGCACAGAACAAAGCCTGTTATAAGGAGGGACCTGGGCTTGTTTTTTTGCTTTGGTTTTGCTTTGAAAAGGATTGAAACCAGGGGCATTTTACATCTGAGCTACATTCCTCAGCCCTTTTTATTTTTTATTTTGAGGAAGGTTCTCATATGTTTCTCAGTCTGATTTAAATTACAATCCTCCAGCCTCAGCCTCCCCAGTCTCTGGGCAACATAACCGACCATTTGCTGAGATTCCAGGGGCAGCTCTGTGTGACCCAAAGCCACCTGTGCTCAGTGTGGCCTGGGAAGAGACTTGCCAACCACCCCACTCCACAGATGAGGAATGTTTCTCAGCATGGAGAGCTGGCTTCTATGTTCATTTTAGTGTCCTGGTACTATTTGTCCCCTGTATTTGTTTCTAAATACGACTCCCCTTGGTGTCAAGCATTATTAGGCAGGCCAGCAGGACACGGTTGTTAAGAAAGAGTGACACGGGGCTGTGGGGTTCTCCCTGGGCCCAGGTTGGTAGCAGTGCCTGGTGCTGAGAGGAAGGTTCTAACCTCAGGCCTGGAGCAGCACCTGGACTTGCTGTCTTTTGCCCAGGGACATGAGGGTAGAGACACCACACAGGGATCAGGTCAGCACCCAGAGCACTTTATTAGGAGCATTAAAATATCTTGTCTTGTCATTTTGGGTGTAGCCCAGTGACAGAGCATGTGCTTAGCAGGTACCTGGGGCCAATTCCCAGCACAGAAAATAATAATACCAAAAATAACGTCAGGGACGATTCCTAACATCATCAGTTGCTGTGGTCAGAAGGGGTCTCCTAATCATCTCACTTGTCTGTCAATCCCCTTCACAGCCAGACCTTCTGCCCCCATGGTGTCAGGTCCTGGGACCAGGGCCACATCTGGGCAGACGGTGAGCTTCACCTGCCAGTCCCATGGCTTCTCCCCCTGGAACATCACCCTCAAGTGGTTCAAAAATGGGAATGAGCTCTCACACACCCAGACCAGCGTGCACCCCACGGGAGAAAGTGTGTCCTTCAATGTGACCAGCACAGCCCAGGTGACCCTGGCCCCTGGAGACGTCCACTCTCAAGTCATCTGTGAGGTGGCCCACGTCACCCTACAGGGGAGCCCTCTTCGTGGGACTGCCAACTTGTCTGACACTGTCCGAGGTACAGAACCCTGCTCCCCACCTCAGCCCACACTGCCCACCCAGCCTGCTTCTCCCCAGGGGCCTTTGCTCCAGGAACTCAGTGGCTTAGGCTCTAGTTGTCAGCAGTGTTGTTACCTGCCATCACATATGGACTCCTGACCTGTGGCCAGCATGTGCTGGTGGCTTCATTTCATTGAACATCAGCAACTACCACTGCTGAGCACCTCCCAGAGCCGAGCCTTGACGTGCAGGGAGGTTTCATCTATTTGCTCACTTCCTGCAGGCAGCCTGTCAGCCTCACTCACTTACCCTCAGGGGAGCTGCTGGTCCCTTGGCACCTGTGGGTGGCAGGCCCTGTGGTTAGTGATTCACTCCCGTGCAAACCCTCAGTGTCTGAGCCCCTGCTTCACACTTGTCCCTGTCCCGAGGGAGGCCCCTGCCCTGCTGGGAGGAGCTCAGCTGTCTGTGCCATAGGGTCACAGCATCTCCCTGTGCTGTTTCAGTTCCGCCCACCCCGGAGGTCACCCCACAGCCCACCATGGCATGGAACCTTGTGAACGTCACCTGCCAGGTGAAGCACTTCTACCCCCGGAGCCTACAGCTGACCTGGGTGGAGAATGGAAATGTGTCCAGGACAGAAACAGGCTCGACCCGCTCAGAGAACAAGGACGGGACCTTCAACCTGACGAGTGGCTGCTGGTCAACTCCTCTGTGCACAGGGAGGACGTGACGTTCACCTGCCGGGTAGAGCATGATGGGCAGTCAGCCACCACCAGGAGCTACACCCTGCAGGTCTTTGCTGGCCTCAGGGAGCAAGGCCTGGACAACACCCCTGGTGAGGCCTCAATTCCAGCTGACCAAATGCTTTTATACTTCATCCTGACTCTGTGTGTTGTGATGTGAGAGCAGTGACCCCTCCTTCCCCCAGGGCACCCAGAGCCTGGGAACAGCAGCGTCTTAGCTCCCCACACCCACACTCTGAGGGTCTCCTCTGTTGGGTTGGGCACACATCTCATGGGGCCTTCAAACAGGGACACGAAGGAGGAAGGCAGGATGGGGGATGGGCCTGTCCTGGCACCTGCCACTTGCCTTCTTCACCTGACACTTGTCATATCCTCATGGCCCTCTTTCTGTTTCTCTCTTTCCACCCACATTGAGGGTCCCCCCAAAACACACAGTGATGGAACCAGGTAACTATCACCTGCCAGGGAAAGTAGTTCTACCTCCTGAGCTTCAAGTGACCTGACTGGAGAATGGACACATGACCAAGATGGAAACTGCCTCAGTCGTCAGAGAACAAG